AGTAGCTACAATAAATCTGACGATAGGTTCGTACAGCGCTGACTTCGATGTGTGTATATATATTATTCAAAAAATTTCAATTTGACTTTAATCTGTTAGAAAAAAGGTTTTCTCAGAAATCCAGGATCTCCAAAAATCCTACTTTTTTAAAACTCAATGCAAACATTTGTTTTATTATTCCGTAAGATAGAGCAAAGTCTTCTCTTCAAAATGAGACCTTCCGTAGTTCTGCACAACAGTTTTCCATTGAGTTTATCAATGTTATTATCGAATTTATCAACATTTGTTGCCAATGTCACGATGGTATTGTTGATCAAAAAATATTTTTCGAGACGCTGATTACCATAGTCAGGAACAATTAAATTCTGTTGACTGTTAATTGCAATATCCATTGGATTAGATAATTGACCCTTGACACGACCACCGCTAGCAACTGTAGTAGCATCTGGATACCATGCACCTGACGAACAAAGCGTTGATGGTGTTGCCTATGAAGGTGTTGTCTGTGAAGGGACCTGTTAATAATGATGCTAGAACCAGGAGATAGACACAAATGAGAAGATTTGAATTTTATTGCTAGCAGAAAAGAAAATCTCTTTAACTACTGTAATAGCGGTTCTTCGTTTTCCAGGAAAAGAAAATTCTCCATGACATCGATAAAAAACGACCAAGTTCCTTTTTACTAGAGACTTCTGTGTCAGTTATGTGTATTTCATGGCTCCTGTTATTTCTGCCTGTCTGTTTCGTATTCATATATTTACGCTGTGTTTTGACATATGTACATTACCAACTGCTCCTTCGTTTTGAAAAGAAAGAGAAGTGCATAAAAATTAACATTTTATATGGACTTCGTGCAGACTAAAATTCTGAATATAAAGATTTTTGTTGCAAAAAAATTTTCGATTTCGAAGTGTGCGATATTAGTCTGTTTCAGACTAACTTGTTGTAAGCGCAGAGTAAGTTGTAAAAGGTTTCGTTGTCGGTTTTGTTATTGGCTTTTTTGTTGTTGGCTTTCTTGTTGGTTTTGTCGTTGTCTTCAAGGCTGGAAAAATAAAATATCCAATAGCTGATAACAAATACACTGAACTCAGACAAACTGCATGCTAAGTTACGTGTGGTGGTACAAAGTACATTACAACATTGATAAATTCGATAATATTTATTTTACAAATTTGAACTGTCAGTGTGTTCAAAAGTTAGTAATAGTAGCAATACGTTAACAATTGCTGCTGGTAGTAGTGGCCAAGGAGGATCAGGATTGAATCAATTGAATTCTTCGTCTAGTATCTACATTGCTCAAAAGTCTGATTTTTTGATGCTCAAAGTAAATAGTCCAAGAAATTTAGAGAGAGAAAGGATAATAAATATCTTTTAAAAATCTGGTCATTATCAGTTGATCCAAGAAAAGAAAACTAATCTCTTTTAAAGACTCGATTATCTATACTTACATGACTGCGTATAAAATTGAAATTTTTCTATTCGATTATTACCATAATCAGCTACATACAAATTCAAATTTCTTAAATCAAATTTAATTCCCAATGGCGAGGAAAGTTGATCTGTTTGATTCCCACTTCGACCTGTACCAGCAACGATTTGTGACTATCTTGCGTTCGGTACTAATTTTACAACTATATGATACACCCCATCTGAAATGTACATTACTTTTGTACTTGTGGTATCAACAAAAATTGAATTTGGACTACTTAATTCATTATAACTTGTAAGTGTTGTACCAGACGATGCACCTAATAACCATTTTTGAATTCTACTATTGCCTGTATCACAAATGTAGAATATACCTTCTAGTTCATCAACAAAGATACCCTTAGCAGAACGAAGTTAATTTGAGCCGCTACCCGAAGAACCAGTTTGACCAGCCACAATAATACCTTGAGATGCGCCTACTAACCATTCCACTATACGATGATTATTTGTATCCGACACGTAGATTGCGGTCAGATTTTGATCAATGTAAATACTAGACGAAGAATTCAATTGATTCAATCCTGATCCTCCTTGGTCACTACTAGAGACGCTGCACCGATTTTGGCCCAGAAAATATTTTGGCTAAAAAGCTTTTTGCTATGAACACCGTTTTCGACAGTTGTAAATCAAGTAAATGTAAATCAGTTTTGCACGTTTAAAACCCGCTTAAAACCTCTCCTAAAACCTAAAAAAATGGTTCTGCTTAGATTTGGCGATGAGCTCTTTCATATGGCTGGATCAAAAACATTTTTTGTTTCGAAAAGTTTTCCAGCTTGAATATCGGGTCGTTGAAAAACCGAGTCTCTAAACTACAACAAACCAATGTGATGTTCGGATTCAGCACACTCGATTACCTATTGTCATAGGCGGCGGAGCCATTAGGCCTGGGTAGGTACAAGCCTACCCTAGATTGAAGTTGGGTAGGCTTGGGTAGGCTCAAATTTTGAAAGTTTAAGGCTTGGGTAGGCTCGAACTTTAATAATCTAAGGCTTTTTTATTATGAATT